CCCAATTAGATCCCGTAAACTTCAAAACTGGTTCCAGTGATTCCTGCAGGAGCACAGCACAACCAGTGCCAGGGGAAACACAAGGTGTTGGAAATTTCCAGCCAGCAAACAGCAGTAAATCTGCTTGGCAAGGACAGCATTGAGGCTCCCTGTGCCTGCCACTCTCAGTCCCAGCATTTCAGGGATACTGAGCCATCACACTTGGCTTCTGTTTCCTTCCCACTAACAACAGACTTTCTTCCTACAATCTTTATCTGAGTGATCCCAAAATGGACTTTGGGGGAACCAATTCCCGAGCTGCTCCTGCCAAACACACCCCTGAGGTGAGCTCACACTCACCTTTTTCTGGGCTTCTCCTGCCCTGGATTTCTCCTGGGCCAGCCTGTCCCTCAGGCTGCTCTGGAGCTTGTCAGCTTGGGAGCACTTGGAGAGCTCCTGCTCCAGCTCCCGGACCTTCTGCTGGCTCCTCTCCCACTGTGCTGACAGGGATGAGCAGGTTTCTGTGGAGTCTGAGAGTTTGGCCCGGGCCTGTTTCAGCTCAGCTTTGACCTGAGTTTGCAAAGAAGAAATGGAGCTTTTACTTCAGCAAAGATCAGGTGGAGTGGCTTGGGTAGGAAAGGGGATTGGGAGCAAAAGAGGGATCAGGGAGGAAGTGCAGCAGATTTGATTTGGAGGCAGGGAAATTTCTCACGGGATTCCAGAGGGGTTTCAGTTGGAAGGGACCTTAAAGCTCAACCTCATTCTGGGGGCAAGGACACCTTCCACCAGCCCAGGTTGCTCCAAGACCCCTCCAACCCGGCCTTGGACACTTCCAGGGATCCAGGGGCAGCCACAGTTTCTCTGGGCAAGCTGTGCCAGGGCCTGCCCACCCTCACAGCCAGGAATTCCTTCCCAATATCCCATCTGTCCCTGCCCTCTGGCAGTGGGAAGCCATTCCCTTGTCCTGTCCCTCCATCCCTTGTCCCCAGTCCCTCTCCAGCTCTCCTGGAGCCTCTTTAGGCCCTACAAGGGGCTCTCAGGTCTCCCTGGAGCTTCTCTTCTCCAGGTGAAACCCCCCCCCAGCTCTCCCAGCCTGTTTCCACGGCAGAGGGGCCACAATTCCCACGGAGCTGAGAGGCCCAGCTCTGTTCCTACCTTGGTGCATTCCTGCTGGAGCAGCAGGTTCTGCTTCTGGAGCTCTGCGTTCTTCTCCCTCTCGTACCTGAGCTCCCTCTCGGCAGAGCTGCACAAGTTCTGCACCCGCCGCAGGTCCTGGCGCAGCTGCTGCAGCTTCTCCTCCTGCTGCTGGAACTTCTCCTCGGGCACGCCCTGAGGGAGCAGCACAAACAGCACGGGTCACGTGGACAGCAGCCCCAGGGAAGGATAAAGGTTGGTAGGAAGGAAGGTGTTTCGGGGTATTTGAGCAGGAAGACGGGCAAAGCCTGGCATTCTGTGTCCCTGGAAGGGTTTAAAAGCCAGGTGGATGTGCCACTTGGGGATGTGGTTTGTGGTGAACGTGGCAGTGCTGGGTTGTGATCTCAGAGGGCTTTTCCAAGCTCAGTGATTCCACAGCTCTCTCTGTCCCCTCAGAGAAGCCAACAGGACTCCAGAGGTCAAGGGAGAACGTACGAAATCCCGGATGAGGGAACAAATCCCTGTTAAAATGACCCTTTCCAACCAAAGAAAGCCACCAGGTTACTCTGAACTCTTGTGTCAGAATCTCACTGAGGCAGCCAAGCAGGAGCAGCAAATCCAACCCAGCTCCAAGAGGGAACAGGAACACAGGGAGTCCTGACAGCAGTGCAGGAACACACTGTGACAGCCCCAACACCCCGAGATGTCACCGACGGTCTGGGGTGGCTTTTGGAGCTCCACCTTCCTGCAAGGGCCTGGCACACAGACCAAAAGCTCTGCTTGGTTTGTATCAAAGCCCTTCTTCCCAGCATCACTTCCAGTCACCCCTGGATCTGAATTCCTGCTGTGTATCCTCTCCCTCTGCTCCTGGAACTACAGGGAATCCCCTGAAGGTCAAGCTTTCCTTCCTAAGTACATCCCCAGATAACTCCCCAAGCTGGGAAAGGCCTTGATCCAGCACTGTGGGGTCTGGCAGTGGCAGTTGTCCTTGAGATCCACGAGGTTTTGTGAGGTTTCTTCCCCCTCACCTACTTCTATCAGGATCCTTTCCAGCATTCCCTCGTGTCCTGCTCTGCTCCATCTGTAGGGATTTGCTACTTCTTGCATCCAGCACAACTCCAATCCTCTCCTTTCCACTCCCACTCCTGCCCACAGGTCACCCAGCCCTCTCTTCCCATCCAAACCCTCGCACAGAATCCTTGCTCCTCCTCAGCCTCCCCATCCTGGGTTCCCCCCATCATTCCCACCCCTCCTGGCAAGGATTCCCACTCTTGCCTCTCTCTTCCAGCTCACAGGGTAAGAAAGGGTAACAAATCCCATTTACATCCCTTATTTCTGCCACATGCACTGACTTTCTGCAAGTTCCTACCACACTCACCACCCAAGGAAATGAAGACATCCCTCATTCCCAAGGGTTGGACTGGCTTCCAGCCCACTTCAATTACGTTTTCCCACCCTAGTGGGGAACTAATCAGTGACCAAAATCAGGGTGCAGGTGGCAAAGCTGCCCATACCTGTTTAAGGCTCCCATCTGAACTGCCTGCTGAGCTCTGCCATGGGAGGGACCTGCTCTCCCTCTGCTCCAGGCCTGGGTTCATCCTCCAGGTCTCTCCAGGGTCTCCCTGTTCCCGGGCGCTCTGGATGCTGCGCTTGAGCTGGGAAATCTCTTCCAGCAGCATCCTTTTCTCTTCATTGCTCTCTCTGAGCTGCTTTTCCAGCTCTTCCTTCTTCTTGTTGCTCTCTAGTAATTCAGAGCTTGAAGGGGGAATAATAAGGGAGAGAGATGACTACGCATATCCCAGGGAAAACACCCATAAAAGGGGAAAACTCGGGATGTGGGAGTCCAGAGAACACTCAAGGGCCTCAGGAGGCTCCAAAGGGGATTCAATCCTGGGAGCAGCAGTTCTGGGCAAGGGTCAGTCTCCCTGGGACACTGTCCCACAAAACCACGTGTGTCCAGAGGCTCAGCCCTCCCTGGGAGGAGGTCACAGGCTGGCCAAGGGGTGGGAGGTGCTCTCTGTGCTCCCAAAGGCACAGGGAAGCACTGGAGGGAGGGGCTTGGGTCTCCCAGTCCCTGTCTGGCTCACCTCCACCCAAACTCAGTCTCCATTGTCTCCATCCAAACTCCAAGTTGGGGCTGCCCCATCCCTGGAAGTGTCCAAGGCCAGGTGGGATGGGGTTTGGATGGTGGAAGGTGTCCCCGCTCATGGAGGGGGGTGGAATGAGATGAGCTTTAATGTCCTTTCCAACCCAAACCATTCCATGATCCCACATCCTACATGTTCAGGCACTGGAATCTGTGCTGGAATCACCACCCCTGGGAGTGTCCAGTGACTGTGTGGATGTGGTCCTTGGGGACATGGTTTAGTGGTGGCCCTGATGGTGCTGGGAGAATGGTCGGGCTCGCTGATCTCAGAGGGTTTTTCCAGAATGATTCCATAATTCCTTAGCACACCCTGCCTGCCTCCTCCTGGTTGTACTTTATCCCAGTGCCCAAGTTATCCTGGTTATCCTTTATCCCAGTGCCACTGAGCTGAC